CTGTTCTTTTTTTTCTTATAAAAGGTTAAATAAAACAAAAATATTGGTGGTAATTTTTGACTGTGTAACTTTACAAACAGCACCTCATATAAACTGGTTTAAACTCCTGAAAGTAGAAATAAAAGTGTGAAAATGTTAGTGAAAGGGAAGTATCAGGACTATGAGCTGATTGTGATTCTGTGTTCTTCAGGAGCTTGAGGGTCTGGATCAGATGATTGACTCGGATTACTCCAGCTTCATCCACGTGGAGAACGTGTACGAGAGCGTCCTCCTGGAGGTCCTGGAGAAGGACATTTCTAAAGGTACACAAAGCTTCCTGTGATGACGTCACATGTCGTCGTGTGGTGGGCTGACGCTAACGATGCTAATGATGCTAACAACGCTAACGATGCTAACACTTCCTGTTTGTGCTGCAGTGGTGAAGGAAGCGGCCAGCCTCCACAAACACAACCTGTTCACGGACAGCAGCCGGCCCAGCCTGTCCACCCCGCCCAGCAGCCCCGCCCTGACGCTGGCCTCGCCCCTCCAGGTCGCCGCCGCCCACGACCCCCTGCCTCCGTCCCCCCTGACGGTCAACGGGCTGCCGGCCGGCCTCCAGCGGGCGCCGCAGCAGAAGGACGACGCGTCGATGGTGCAGACGGTGCTGGGGAAGACCAGACTGAAGGAGGAGGGGGTCAAGGTTTKTCCGGAGGCACAGGTACCAGAGGACACCGCTGAAGACCTGGAGACCACACAGACCCTGACCCAGATCCAGGACCAAAAACAGGAAACTCAGACCAAAGCTGACATCATTCTGGCACAAGCTCCGCCCACTGGTGGAGAAGGTGTGAGATCAGAAGGTCCTGATCCAGAGGACCCTCTGAACCCTCCAGAAGAGAACCCCAGTCCTGAGGAAGCCCCTCAGAGCTCAGAGGTGCAGTCAGCAGCGCCCCCTGGTGGCGAGGTGTCAGCGTTYTGCATCAGGCTGAGGGAGGAAGTAGAATCCATCAGCGCCTCGGAGCCCAACTCTCTGCACGTGTCTGTGGGCAGTGACTCGTCCCACTCAGACCTGGAGTCCACAGGAGACGTCCCAAACACCTCTGATGTCTCCGAGCTCGTCCCGTCCCCCGACAGCTCAGAGGAGACAGCTGAGGACAAAACTGGAGGTGAAGAACCAGCCGAGACTCAAGAACCGGTCCAGGTCCAGACGGAGGCTGGGAGCAGAGACACGAAGCTGGACGTCCCTCCGTCTCCTCCGTCCTCYGAACCCACCGAAGAGGAGACACCCCCGGGTCCTCGTCCCCTGGACTGCGTCAAGGCGATCCGGGACCTGGTGATGGAGGTGATCGAGGTGGAGGAGCAGGTCCAGGTCCACCGTTACCCTGAAGCAGACTGAGACCAGGACCGGTCAGACCTGCAGGAAACTGGACCGCTTCAGAGACCTGGAGACACCAAACGTGCATGAAGTGATCTCCCTCAGATCAGTGACGTCTGCAGCTGTTTTACAAAACACAACTTTTATTTTGAAAATCAGTGAGTTTTWCTAAAACCCAAGACTTTTTCTTCCATCAGGACCTGTTTAAAGACCTGAACCGTATGGCTGCCGTTTGTAACATTACACAGTCAAAAATTACCAACAATATTTTTTAATTTAACCTTTTATAAGAAAAAAGAACAGATTTATTTTTCAAAGTCAGTTTTTCACCATATGATTCATACATTTATAAATGTCAGAGTTTATAAACTAAA